AGGATTCAATTTAAACATTTGGTAGATGAACCTATCAGCAGTTCAAAAAAAGACAAAAATACTTAAATCTAGAAAACAAAGCATAGAAGAAAATCAGTAATGTTTTAGTCAAAAGTCATAAAATTCTATTTCACCAGTTCAGTCTCCTGTAATTAATCTCTCTTCTGCTGAATTTGCAGTGTTATTGTGGTCCAATCTTTCCGTTTAAATACTGGAAGTTAACATTCAATGTTATTATTGACCTTTCCAGACTGGTCCCTACCATTAAGTTGGCCATTTTCTTGGTTGTTTTTTGTACTCTTATTTGTCTAACTTTAGTTTTCCACTCCCTTCAGAACTTCTTGGAGAACTGGTCTAGAGTTAGTAAATTCTTTCAGGTTTTGTTTGTTGGAGAATGTTTTTGTCTTTTTTTCCCATATGAAGGATAATCTTGCCAGGAATAGTATTCTTGGTCCTTGCTTACATTGTTTCTGTTGAGAGGTCAGATGTCAGCCTGTTGGGATATCCTTTGAAAGTAACTTGATGTTTCTCTCACCAATTTTAGTATCTTATCTCTGTCTGTGGTATTGGCTAACCTGGCTATGATGAGACTTCGAGAATTTATTGGGTTGATTCTATGTGGGATCTTGATGTATGAATGCCTCTCCAGGTTTGGATAGGTTTCTTCCAGGATTTCATGGAATAGATTATCAATGCCCTTACTAGTTTCTTCACTTTCTGGGATACCGATTATCTGGATGTTTGGGTGTTTAATAGTATCCGGTATTGCTCATATATTATTCTCATTTTGGGGGTTATTTTCTCAGTATTTTTGGTGAATTTTTCTAGGTCAGAGGTTCTGTCTTCTACATCTGAGATTCAATCTTCTGCATGATCTAATCTGGTTTTAATACTTTCAAGAATAAGTTTTGATTTTCTGTATTACAGCCTTTATCTCTAACAATTCCACTTGATTCTTTTTTATGGTGTGTATTTCCTCTTTCAGATCATGCAAGAACTTCCTCACCTCCTGGAACTCATCTCTTTTCTCCTGCATTTTTCTGGAGTTCACTGTCTCTTTTCTCTTGCATCTCTGTTAGCTTTGTCGCTATGAATATTCTAAATTCTTTATCTGACATTTCCATGAGTTCTATTGTATTGTCTGTAGAGGATCAGGAGTTATCCTTTTCCCTTGGGGAAAGCTTGGCTTCTCATATTTCTTATGCCTCTGCAGTGGTTTGTGGTCATCTGATGGAGTATATGGTTTTTTCCCCTAATTTTTGGAGTTAAATCTGGGTGTTCAGAGGCCTGCAGAAGGTGCTCTGCAATCTCTCTGTGGTCCTGTTTTTCTCCCTTTATGCAACAGATTCCATAGGAGTTAAGGATTACTCTGACATAGATCTTGGGGTCAGGAGGGTGAGGTCTGGGCAGAAAATCTTGAGTTCCCCAATAGGGTCTTGATGCAGAGTTCTACCCTTAGCCTCAACCAGCCCAAGATCATGGTAATTCACATGCCTGGTGTACTGAGGGAGGTCTTGAGATGAACCCAGAACCTTTCACATGGGTCAGCCTCACAGTGGTCACATTTTGCCGCTGTAGCACCATCCAGCCCCAGCCTGGCTTCTTTATTCACTTGGGTTCAATTTGGCTAAGTATGAGAGAAAACCCCAGTTAACAGTGACTGAAGCATGCAAGGTTTTATTTTCTGAAGTAGAAGAGGTAGGAAGGTTGGTGGAGATGGATTACCTAAATCCCTGCCCTGTAGTCTGGCTCCTGTTATGTTGAATAAGACTTAGCATTCAGGGAGAATTTATTTAAGAACCAGGTGGTTATACGTGTGGGAAATGAAGTCGGTGTGGCTCGCATGTAAGAGGACACTGGACACAGGTATTAGAAGTGTGTGTACTACAGGAGCAGAATGGGAAAGATCTGGAATTGGCACACAGTGGATTTGTGAAAATACCTGGGCAGCCTCCCAGGGTGAGGCTCCAAAGGTCAGGTCCTCAGGGGAGAAAACTCAATAAACATTTGCACTCTTTGCATTCCTCCCTATGAAGGAAAGGTTTCCTAAGTGTTAAAAATAGTCTTGGTTGTGTCTTGAAGTTCTTTCCAGGTTTGGCTTCTATCATCCTGAAGAATGACCTCAACCCTTGGGTTTAAGATGGATTCCAACACTCTAGCCATGATTCTTATGTTCCAGGCAGTAGACTTCCCAGAAATTTTACACAACACTTTCACAAATACCTCATTGATCACAACTTGGTCATATGACTACACCCAACTATAACAGAGATCAGGAAATAGTCTTTATTCTGGGAATCTAGAACATAGAACTGTCTACCAGACAACTGGAAATGCATTCTTTATCCTGGGAATCTAGAACATAAACTGTCTACCAAACAAATGACAGGATCTCTTCAGAGGTTACTGTTCTAAATTAAAAGAAACTAAAGAGGAACCAGCAGATGGCTAATGGTTATGTCAGTGGACTCCCACATGGTCAACTGAAGTTCAAGTCCTAGACCCCACAGCTTGAAGCTCATTCTGGGCCCATGTGCACGCACGCCCAAAATCCCTAGAAGAGAATGGAGGGGAAGGGATTGCAGCATGGCCACACCCCTGGGAGGCGATTTCTTTCTGTCTTTCAGTCTTTGTCTCTCCAGCAAGTGCACATGCCCTACAGCAAAACAATCTCTCTAAAAAAATAAATTTAAAAAGAAACTAAAGAGACATATGAATGAGCCCTGACTGGCTATGGAAGATATCAGGAGGGCAATGGGAGAAATCTGAATATGGCCTGAATGCTAAATGATATAGAGTAGCATGATTTTCTTAGGTGTAATTATGGAACTGTGGTTAAGAGAAGTATTTTTTGTGTTGTTTTGTTTTGTTTTAGGTAATACAGGATATGAAGCACTTACTACAGCAGTCTTTGAGCAGTGAGAACATGTGTATGTGCATGTGCATGCACACACACATATGCTATCATAAAGAAAGAAGACTGAATAGGGCTGGTTTGGCTCATGACAAGATACTGCAGTGTCTTCTATAAGTGACACTGGACCCTTATAGAAGACCATGTGGGTTTGGTTCCCCAGGTGACCTGCACATGCCAGACACACATCTATGATTCTAATCAACTGGGAAGTTGGGGGTGGGTAGGGATCCTACTGAGGACACTCGTTTGCCTCTCACAAAAGAAACATTAAAAAATTAAAAATTGTAGTGGGGCTAGCAAGTGGCATGGTGGTGAAGACACTGGACTCCCACATGGCTATTCAAGTCTCACACCTAGTGATTTGTTTTCTCACTTTCTCTCTCTCTCTCTCTCTGGTGAGCACATGTCCTATAGTAAACTTAAATAATAATATATAAAATAAATAATTTTTAAAAATTTTAAATGATGGTTATAAACACTAACTTTAAAAAAAAAAAAAAGAATCTGGAGGGACCAGCAGTTAGCGTAATGGCTATGTCACTGGACTCCCATGTAGTTGACCGCGGTTCGAGTCCTGGACCCGGTGGCTTAAACTCACGCCGGGTGTGTGTGCGTGCGTGCCCAAGATCCCGAGAGGAGAATGGAGGAGAAGGGATTGCAGCGTGGCCATCCCCCCTGGGGGGTAATTTCTCGCTTTCTATCTCTCTGTCTCTCTCTGTCTGTCTGGCGAGCGCACGTGCCCTATAGCAAAAACCTCTCCAAAAAAAAAAGAATCTTACAGGAGCAATTTGGCTTTATCTACCAAAATGTAAAACACCTTTCCACCCCCCACTCAAGTGTTCATACCTATAGTAAAAACTATTGATTAAAATTTTTTTAAAAAATGGAGCTGGCAGGTGGCATGGTGGTTGTGATGCTGGACTCTCACACAGCCAACTGCAATTCGAGTCCTGGACCTGGTGGCTTGCTTTCTCACTTTCCCTTTCTCTCTTTCTGGTCAAATTTAAAATAATAACAAAATTAAAAAAAAAAATTTAAAGGAATGCATAGCAGTTTTATAACTAAAACATGTCAGTATGCTTAGGAGACACATAGAAGCATTCTGGGTAAATTTGCAAGGTAATGCTTCAGCAATAAAAAATAAGTTTTATACATATATATATATAATTTTTTTGAATCTATATGTTGAGAATGCAAACGTGAAAAATGTTAACAAGTGGTGAATCAAAACTAAGAGTATAGAGTGGGCAGGTGGCGTGGTAGTTGGGTGCACTGACTCCCACATGGCCGACCATGGTTTGAGTCCCAGACCTGTTTGAGTGGCTTGTTTTCTCACTTTCCCTCTCTCTCGCTTGCTCACTCTCTCACTCTCTCTCTCTGGTCAAATTAAAATATAGTTAAATAAAATAACTAAAAAAAAAAAATGGTATAAGGAAGTTTGTTAGATCGTTATACTATTCAACTTTTCTCTATGTTTGAAATATTTTCAAGGGGCCAGCAGGTGACATGATGGTTAAGGCACTGGACTCCCACATGGTTGACTGTGGTTTGAGTCCTGGACCTGGTGGCTTGCTTTCTCACTTTTCTTCTCTCTCTCTGGTCAAATACTAAAAATAATAATAATAATAATAATGAAATTAAATAATCCTTTTTTAAATAAAAAGAAGTATTTTCAAAATAAAATTAAACTCACAATAAATAAAGATGGAGGGACCAGCAGATGGTATAATGGTTATGTCACTGAACTCCCATGCAGTTGACCACGTTTCAAGTCCCAGACCTGGTGGCTTAAAACTCACAATGGGCATGTGAATTTTGGGTACTTGTGTGCCCAAAATCCCAAGAGGAGAATGGAGAAGAGATTGTAGCGTGGCCGACCCATCAGCAGGTGATTTCTCGCTTTCAGTATCTCTGTCTCTTTCTGTTTCTCTGGCAAGCACATGCACTCTATAGCAAAAATCTCTCTAACAACAACAAAAAAAAAACCCAGATGGAAGCCTACTACAGATCCAGGTACAGAGAACTGCAAGACCCTGCAGCATCTGAACAAAGACTTGCCCTCCAGAGAGGGCTGGGGTATAAATCCAGGTTTTACAAAGCTTTATTTTTTTCCATAATTTTTCTCCCAAATATTTAGTGCCCTTGCAGTACTGGAAGATCCTGGAGTTTGAATCTAGAAAGAAGTACAAATGCAGTTTACGGCCCAGCCAAGTGCTAGAAGAAAGCCTTCTGTTGACTCTGACGACCCTTATGGTTGGCTTTTACAGCTGGCCAGACACACTATGGAGGACATAGCTCGAGACACAGTCCCTTCTCTCAGGTTCCACCACGAAGGCTCTTGTGAGCTCAGAGGAAGGTTCCAGATCCAGTTTCCAACAGACAACAGCCTCACCTCCGATGATCTATTCCAACAGCATCTGTGACCCTGCTAAACCCCTGCTCTCTGGAAAAACAAAAAGCAAAGCAATTTCAGCAAATGGGAAAGGGCAGACCCCACTCTATAGGAAGCCTGCACTCGTAAATGCCTCTCTCCAAGGTACCATCCCATCACAGGCACTTGAGCCCTCCTCAGTGTCTTCACTAGGGACGTGAAGCTATTTCTACCCAGTTGTCGGAACAGTAAGGGAACTGATTCTAAGCACTGATGGCTCCCCAACAGTGAGCCAATGTTAATTAATGTGAATGTTGCCAGGAATCCTCAGGCCCCTCACTCTCAAATAAAATGGACAGCCCTTCTTTGTAGACACCAGTGCCTTGGAAGTTAACCCTGAGATCCCTGGCACCATTTGTCCTTTGTCAAAGGAATAATGCAGAGTAACTTTCCCCTGCATTCAAGGTGTACCCTTCAAATCCTGTCTCAATGAGTAATAAACAGATGATTAGCATCCCCTTGAGTTGAGTGAATGAGCGTCTCCTGTTTCAAGTCCACACAGCCCAACTCACTTCAAAAGAGCCTCCAGCTCTCGCTTCACCCTGCCCACCACAGGCGGTCCGTGGTAGGTGAGGGCCGTGTACAGCTGCACCAGGGAAGCCCCTGCCTGGATCTTCTCCAGCGCGTCCTGCCCACTGCTGACACCGCCAACCCCAATTATGGGAATTCTGCCTGCAGAGAAGCACATGGCAATGCTGTGAAGAAGGATATAAGAACCAGCACCTTGGCTTGGCCTCAGCCCTCCAACCCCCAAATGAACACAGCACAATGATCCCCATCACAACCCTGGAGTCCAAGCCACACACAAAGCTGAAGACAGAGACCCCAGCCTTGCCTTGGGTGAGCGCATACATCTCCCGGATGGTCTGAGTTGATAAATCCCGGAGGGGTTTCCCACTCAGCCCTCCCATTTCGGAGCGCAGGGCACCCTGGAGGCCGGCAGGCCGACTCACTGTGGTGTTCGTGACAATCAATCCATCGACGCCCAACTGCCAAGCAAGAGAAAGGGCCTTTGAGTCACAGTGTGGAAGGACTCAGAGAAGCATCCGCACCTACGGCCCCTCAGATGCAGAGCTATACCAGGCCCCTACATGCATCTCACATGAGTATCAGAATGAACCCTGGTGTGACAACAGCAGCTCTCTATATAGATGCCCACAGTGTTCTACTAGGACAGAAATTAATCCTGAGAACAGCCTACTTGTCTTGTCCAAAGGCCTGAGGTAGTAAGTGGTAGAACCAGGATTTGAACCCATGACTGCCAACTCAGTCTGTTTCTACACCCTCCTATGACATAGAGGCCTGGTCAGAGAGAGGCTGGAGAGAGAGAACACTCTAGTCCCAACTGTGACTGGCCAGGAACGTGAGCACAAACAGCCTTCCAGCCCTTGCTCGGTGAAGATGAGTAAAGAGAAGTAAGAGGCATGAATAAAGACCAATCAGACATTTGCTCTACTACAGGATGTGCTGCATCATGAGACTCCACACCAGCCTCAGTGTCACAGAGAGGAACTCACTAGGTCAAATGGCCTCTAGAGACAGTGAGAGCCCCCTGTTCGTCCCCCACGACCCCCAGGCTGGGCTCACTCGCACCTCTCTCACCACACTGGCAATATCCTCCTTGTCCTGGGCTGTGAGGTCAGGGGCAATCTTCACCAGCACTGCCGGCCTATGCTCTCCCTTCAAGGCGTCTCTCTCCTGTAGCACCTGGAGTGACACATGGCCAGTGATGGGGACCCTAGACCACAGCCTGAAGGGACAACCTTGCACCATAGCCAAAGGTCAGTGTATTCACACAAGCTATCAAACAGAACGTGAGCAATTTCTCCTTTAAAGCAAACCCAACCCTCAGTTACGCGAGTGACCCCATCAAGATGGCTCAGAGTCAATTCTTCTGAACCAAGAGATCTCAAGGCATTAGCACTGGCTAATATCTTAAGGTATTTTTAGACTTTAGAATAAAACAAAAATAAGGAAATACTGTCACAAGTGCTGCATGATTCAGAGCCCTTCAACTCGTCCACTATGCTAGGTGGCAGGTCAGAGTGAAATTGAGAGGGGCCTGGTGTTTGGGGGCTTAAAAACCACACCAGGCATGTGTGTGTGCCCCAAATCCCAGGAGAATGGAGGACAAGGGATTGTGGGGTGGCCACAATCACACCCGGGGGTGATTTCTCACTTTCCCTATGAATTAGCAGCAGGTAACTGAACACTTCATGACTACTGCATATAATCCATGCTGTGACAGGATTAGAGGGTGCCCTAGGAGGGTACAGCGAGGGGTGTTTACCAGTCCAGGTGTTAAGGACACTGAAGCTATGTCCTGGAGAATGAACAGGAGTAAGGCAGGCTAGTGGAACAGGGCACGGAGATGTAATTGCCCACCTTGGTCAGCAGGTGGCGCAGTGTGGCCTTCCCCTGAAGGCTCCGCAGCCCAGCTGTGTTGGGACTGGACACGTTCACTACCAGGTAGTCAGCCAAGGGGCCCAGGACTCGAACCCCTTCTACGTAGTCTGCAGCAGCATCCACCGAAGTCTTATTCTTGCCCAGGTTTATTCCCAGTGGCAGCCCATCTGTAAACAGTGCCAGTCAAGGTTGTGTCCCCACCTGCCAGGAGGCTGTCCTTGACTACCCAACCCTCTAGCAGTCCTGAAGGTCTCCTGCCACCAACCTGCACTCCGACACCAGCTGACCAACGTGTGAGCCACTGCACACGCTGCTGCTGCTGGCCAGACACAGTTCCCCTCTGGGGCAACTGCAAGGGTGTTTCACTGCATTTTGCCCCTTTATTTCCAAATTTTAGTGGAAATTGGAGAAATTCAGAGTGCAAATGCTAGCAAAAAACAAAAGTAGGTCTCAAAAATATAATAAAACTAAAAATAGGAGGGACCAGCAGTTGGCATAATGGCTATGTCATTGGATTCCCATGTAGTAGACTGCAGTTTGAGTCCTGGACCCGGTGGCTTAAACTCACACTGGATGTGTGTATGTGCATGCCCAAGATCCCGAGAGGAGGATGGAGGAGAAGGGATTGTGGCGTGCCCATCTCCCCAAAGGGTGATTTCTTGCTTTCTGTCTCTCTGTGTCTATTTTTCTGGAGAGGACATGCGCCCTATAGCAAAAACCTCTCAAAACAACAACAACAAAAACTAAAGACAGAAGCCAATCACCATGTCAGAAGGTACACCTTTAATCTCAAGAGATGCTTGTTGGTCTTGGGCCGAGTGGCTGGATGTACAGTTAGTGAAGTAAAAGCAACATTAAAGATGTATAAAATACCTTGGGGCCAGCAGGTAGATATGGTGGTTAGGACACTGGACTCCCACATGGCCAACCACAGTTCAAGCCCCGGACTCAGAGGCTTGAAAATCCCACAGGCACATGTGTTTGTGCCCAAAATCTCAGGAGAATTGAGGAGAAAGGTTTGTGGCATGGCCATCCGCCCTGGGGATGACTTTTCATTTTCCCTCTCTCTGTCTCTCTCTGGTGAGCACACACATCTTATGGCAAAAACCTAAAAAAAATAAAATAAAGGACAATTTTCTTAATTACGATGTTTAAAAATGTAGAAGTCTGATGATGTAATCACTTATATGTGGTCACTTCTATACTTAGCATGACTGTACAACTCAGTACTCCTAGCTCAGCCCTGGCTGCTCCTGTGGTCTGGCCCCAATTACCAATGCCCTCCCCTTTCTCAAATGTGAAAAGTGAAGCAGCAATCAAACAGCCTCTCCGAAGGTCACCTTCAACATGCAGATTGTTTCCAAAACATGCCATGAAGAATATTTTCCTAAATGTTAATATGAGTTATCACTGAGTGTGGAGAACTATGAGTAACTTTTTTTTTTTTTTTTTTAGGTTTTTGCCATATGATGTGTGCACTCGCTGAAGCGACAGAGAGAGGGAAAGTGAGAGATTATCTACGAGGAGGGATGGCCACCCTGCCATCCCTTCTCCTCTATTCTCCTCCTGGGATTTTGGGCACACACATGAGCCTGGTATGCTTTTCCAAGCCATCAGGTCTGGGACTTGAACCACAATCGGCCATGTGGGAATCCAGCACTTTAACCACCACACCACCTGCTGGCCTCATAACTTCCGTTTCTTCTCTGTCTCTGTATTTACTAACTCTGGTATAATTAATACACATCACTTATATAAAGGACAGAAGGACAACAAAGCAGAGAGTATGAAGGTGGCGCTCAAGTCCCACTCAGCATCTTAACCACCCCTGTGGCCTCAATGGGCCTCTCTGCTAACTTCCAAGCTTCCCTAGTTAGGGCAGAACACAGGTTTATATAATGAGGCAGAAACAGATGAGTCTTTGCAGACAGTTTATGTGACCTTCAGTTAAAACCCTGCGGGCTGCACTGGAACAAGGAAACATCTAAGAGGAGCCCCAAGTCCTCAGGGTTTTTCTCTACTGCACAGTCACGTTTTTTCACAGCATTTCTCTCCGTTCCCTTCTGGTGAGGAGAGGAAGCCCGAACGCACATCCTCTGTACCTTCTGTGAGCCTCGTCTGCTGCTGCTGCCTGGCCCGCAGTCTGCGTTCCACCACCGACAGCCCGTGGCTGTTAAACCCGTACCTGGAGCACACCGGGAGGGGTGAAGTTAGGGACAAAACACCTGGGGACAGTGCCCTCTTCCCCCCGCCCCCACTGCCCCCATCTACTTATGACTTCTAGAAACAGAAGAGGAAAAGATCAGAGTCAGTTTCTAGACCTCCAAGGTCTGAACATCCCTGGGACTCCTAGAGAACTTGCTAGAACACCACCAAGCACAGAGGAACGTTTACAGCCAGAAAACAAGCTGCTCCGCCAAGCAGTGCTGGAAACAGCCCAGACTGGTCAGCAGGAGCTGCCGCAGCCCTGCCCAGACGCTGCCACCTCCTCCTTAGCAGTCCCACCCCAGCCAAGCCACTCTCTGGTAACAGCATAAGGTGTTAAACTGATGTCATGAAACGTACTTTCCGGGTTAGTGTGAGGACATGCGCCTGGCACATACCAGATGTTCAACAGGGTTCCCTCCAAAAGACAGGAAAAAAGTCCACTCTGTGTGAGAGAAACCCCGAGGCAGATCTCACACCCAAGAGCCCAGCTGAGTAGGGGCGTCCCTTATTCACCAGCAGCAGCTCACCTACCTGTTGATGACAGCTTGGTCCTCCGGGAGGCGGAAGACCCTGGGCCTGGGATTTCCTTCCTGAGGTTTCGGGGTCACACTTCCTATCTCCACAAAGCCAAAGCCCATCTTATAAAGTCCATCCACAGCTTCACCATGCTTGTCAAATCCTGCAGCGATTCCTACTGGGTTTCGGAATGTATGGCCCAGAACTCTCACTTCCTGGGAAAAGAAGAGAGTCAGAGGGACACAAGGGACACAAGTCTATCCCACTGTCCTCAAAGTGCGATTCCAGCACACGGACATCAGAATCACCTGGGAGCTTGTTCAGCATCAGATTCCAGGGCCCATTCCAGGACTACGGGATCAAAACCTCGGGGCCAGCTGAGAAAAGGAGCGCCAAGGGTGCGCATGCTCTCCAGGTAATTCCAATGCCAGCTAGACTTTGTAAACCACGGACTATAGTAACTCCAAGGTTGGGGAGAAAAAGTGTTCCACTGTGGTGGAACGAGAGAGGGCACTGCCTTCCAGTCATAGCTAAGACTCGTACCTGCTTGTCTACTGATAATATATCCTTGGTGGAAGAGGGCAGCCTATTGGAGTCAGCCCCTACAAAGTGCTACTCTAAAATCACAGTGTCAAGCAGCAAAATCCTTTAATCAGTTATAAGTCAGCCCAGCTGTGTCCCTCCTCAGCCACGCTGATAAGTGCCCCAGCAAGACCCAGACTCCCATGGGGGAGCTACAGCAAGGAAGGTGCTCAGCGACAGGTGGATGAGGGAGAGAGCCACCATGTTCACAGCTAGTATTGCCACCTGGGCTCCACCTCCTGGTGGATCAGTGACGGTATTGGATTCTCAGGGGAGTGCGGACCCTATTGTTGCATGATTGTGTCATCGTATATTGCAATGTGGTACAGTAGTGGAAATGGGGCACATGGTGACATGGTGGATGTGGTGCAACTGGGTTATCCTGGGACCAGCTCTCCAACCCCCAGCCCGTCTGTGAAGGCATTGTCTTCCACTAGGCCAGTCCATGTGCCAGGAAGGTTGGGGACTGCTGTTCTAACCCACAGCACCTTCTAGTGTTTATCTGACGGCAAACAGATAAAATGGCAAACAACAATTGGACAGAGACAAGGAGTTTAAGGTCAAAGGGGAATGGTAGGGACCATCTGGTAGCATAGTGGTTAAGGCAGCTGGACCCCACACAACCAACTGCAAGGACCAAGTTCTGAACCAGGAAGCTTGAAAAAACATGTGTGTTGGGACCAGCCAGTGGATGGCATAATAGTTATGTCACTGGACTCTCATGTAGTCAACCGCAGCCGGGTCCCAGACCCGGCGACTTAAATTCATGCCAGGTGCGTGTGTGTGTGTGTGCCCAAAATCCCAAGAGGAGATTGGAAGAGAAGGGACTGCAGCATGGCCAACCCTCCCAGGGGGGTGATTCTCACTTTCTGTCTCTCTGGGTTTCCAGTGAGCACATGCAAAATCTCTCAAAAAAAAAAAAAAAAAAAAGTGCATAAAGTCCAAAATTCCAAGAGGGGAATGGAGGAGGAAGGATTGCAGTGTGGCCATCCCTCCAGGAGGGTGCTTTCTGACTTCCTCAGTCTCTCCAGTGGAGTGTACATGCCCCATAGAAAAACTGAAGAGGGGAAGAAAAAGGGGAACTATAGAGAAGGGCCCCTCGGTGACTCTGCCCCAAGGAGCTCCAGAGGCTGCTGGGTTTTGTGCCCTTGTCCAAGGCAATCTGATGTCCCCCTTTGGTAAGTTTCTTGAAGGAAAGTGCTGTGGCTTATAAAGCGTACATTTTCTATGAGGACATGGCTCCTTCTATTTTGTTCGCTGCAGTAATCCCAGGACACAGTAAGTCACGTGGTGGGGCCCATGTGCTGACGGTACGGCTGAATGAGGAAGGGACAGGTGTTTGCATGCCCGCCTCACAGGGCCCAACTAGACACACCTGCATCATGTTAGCTGTCTGATGACAGCAGTCACTGAGCAGAGGGGGGATTCGGCAGTGAGGAGAGTGGCTCAGGAGATAGATGCCAGAGCCAGACTCAATGGTTAGAGTCCTGGTTCTGCCATTTCCTACCTGTGCCTTTGAGCAAGTCACCTAACTACTCTGTGCCTCAGTTTCCTGATCGATAGACAAGGATGATGGTAGAATCTGCTCGTGAAGTACTTGTGAGGATTAAATGAAAGCACTGCTTAATAAGTCCCACATAAAGTATATATAATGATTGTTATTATGTAATTATATGATACATAACAAAAATAATCATTATTCTCAGGTTCCCAATGCTAACCTGGGACTCTGGTTTTCTATTTCTGCCTTACAGTGCTTGAGAGACAGAGACAGGGAAAGTGAAAAATCACACCCCCCTCCCCCCAAGGAGAGGGTGGCCACATAGCAATCACTTCTCCATTCTCCTCCTGGGATTTTGGGCAGGTATGCACATGGGCCTGGCATGAGTTTGAAGCCACCAGGTCCAGGATTTTAAACACAGTTGGCAATATGGGAGTCCAGTGATGAAACCACTACACCATCTGCTGGTCCCAGAACTTTGGTTTTCAAGAGGATCAGTGCCAGCTAAGAAATTTCAGGGGACTTCGACTCTCACCCTTGTCTCTAATGAACAAGGTGGGGTGTTCCAGGAGCACCTACCAGCATGTCTGAGTCTTGAAATGTGGCACGAGGAATGAGGCCCAGGGAGGTGATGCGAACAGCCAGTCTGTGGGCAGACTCTGGGTCCAGCAGCCGCTGCAGTGCCGGCATCAAGTGAGCAGTGTAGAAATGTTCATCCCCTGAGGCAGCCAGATAGGAGGCAAAGAGAAGTCCTCCACCCCCCAGGATGATTGCAGCATCCTGGGCCCGCTTCTGGAAAAAGAGAACTTATGAGGGGGCCCCTAGCAGGCTAGCTGCAGCACCCCCATGAGCCCTTTATACCTGTACACACGGACAATGCAATGACATGTCCCAGGAGGTGATGTTCACCCTCTGCTGATACTGGTCTCCTTCAAAGCTATTCTGTCTCACACTGCCCCCTGCTGTGAGCGGCTGCATCCTCACTCCTGCTACAGACATTCCTCTGGCCCTGAAGATTTCCCTGAGCACTCTAGGCCAGAGGTTTCCAAGAGAGGCAGGACTGTCCCCTGACACACTAGGGGCATCTTCAATGGCTCCAGTGATGGAGTAATGCTAATAAGATTTATTAGGCCACAATGGATGAAGTCAAACATCCCTCTCAGCTTAAGACCACATCCCATATGACTGTTGAATATCCTGCTTACGTTCATGTAGATAAAAAAAATCTGGTGAACCAGCAGTTAGCGTAATGGCTATGTCGCTGGACTCCCACGTAGTCGACCATGGTTCGCGTCCCAGACCCGGTGGCTTAAAACTCACGCCGGGCACGTGTGCGTGCGTGCCCAGGATGCCGAGAGGAGATTGGAGGAGAAGGGATTGCGGCGTGACCGTCCTCTCTGGGGGGTGATTTCTCGCTTTCTGTCTCTCTGTCTCTTGCCCTATAGCGAAAAAAAACCCCCCACCGTTGGCGAAAAAAATCTCTCCAAAAAAAAAAAAAAAATCTGTTCATACTATCCAAACCAAAAGCCAAACTATGTTTTACCACAGAAACACAAACTCTCCCACATGCTTTTCATATGCACTGGCTTTCCCAGGAATACAATTACCTTGTGAATTGAGGGACAACTGTACTGTTTTACACAGAACATTACCAAGAATTGTTGACCTCTTCAGAAACACCATAAAGAATGACATAGTGCATTGCCTAGAGTTTGGCCCATGCATTCACATTTCTTTTTAGTTTTTTTTTTGTTGTTGTTGTTTTTGTTTGTTTGTTTTGCTATAGGGCACGTGTACTGCTGGAGATGGGTAGAAAGCAAGAAATCACCCCCCAGGGGATGGCCACAACACAATCACTTGTCCTCCATTCTCCTCTCGGGATTTTAGGCATGCACTTACACGTTCCCAGAGTGATTTCAAGTTGCCAGGTCTGGGACTCGGGTGTGGGACTCAAACCACCATCGACCACATGGGAGTTCAGTGCCTATACTATGCCACCTATTGGCCCTGCATTCACATTTCTAAGAGGCTCAAACACTCAATTATCTTATTTATCTATGTGAGGCATGTCCCAAAATGTACATATTGAATACATGTTATTATAAATTATTTTAATTTCTCTTTATTCTAGTTAGGACATTATGCTGACTTTTCAAAATTATACATAAAAATATATATTCCATGTTAGGATAATAAAGCAAGTTGTAACATATAAAAAAGCTTCAGGTCTTATTGAGTGGAAAACTTCTAAGATCAAAAGTGGTTCATAATGCTTTTTCTCTAATTATCACTGCCAGATGCTGTCGATCACTTATACATTTTCAATCACTCATCAGCTGAGCAATCAGAGGTGGGCAAGAGATTTGGTCCCTACTTTTGAGGAGTATGCAATCTAATGAAAAGACAGAAATCAATGATCATGTGACTATGGAACCACTGGAAAGGCCCAATCTAATCTCAGAGGTAAGGAAAGGCTTTCTTTTTTCTTTTTTTTTACTCATTATCCTGGCATTGACTTTTAAAAAAAAATTTACTTCATTCACTGTACATCATTACAGTATACAAAATAAGATTTTCCAAGGAAAGACTTTGATGGATGAGACTTAAGGCTGATATTCAAAGGATAAATAGGTGTATGTAACAGGAGGCAGTAGGGGGAAGAAAAGGCTCTCAGTTACAGAAAAGAATGAGAAGCACTCAAGGAGTAGAGGGAGGGGAGAGTTAGGAAATGAGTGAAGGAAAGCATGGCTTAAAATGAAGAAAGACTAGAGAAAGGCCTTGGGCAGAATAAAGATTTAGATTTTGTTCTTACACAAGGTGAAGTGATAAGGTTTGCCTTTAAGGATCCCTCCAAGTTATTAATGTAATGCAGATCAAGGACTCTTCAGAGTCTCCACCGGGGATTGCAAGAACGCCCTGAAGTCAATCAACATTTGAGCATCTACCACAGAGCGGGCCCTGGGAATAAACTAAGACCCATCACTTAGAGCCCGAGCCCTATCAAAAACTCATCTACGAGCGGTAGGACCTCGTCCTATCCTAACTTCATTCCTCTGGATCCTGCACATAATGCTAGGCGATCATATTTACCAGTGCCCCACGCCAGGCTCCATAAAAATATGACCCTGTGCTCCCACGCTCAGATCAGCACCCACCTGACACACACCTGGCCAAAGACACGTGTAATTGCATGGGCACCTGCAGGGGCTCCCAGAGACAAACGCGTGCCCCAAAGGGGACCACACCCGGCCCGGGCTCACTCTGCACTCTCCCCTCTCTTCGGTCGCCCCTGCTCTCTTCCTAGCCATCCCAAACCCCATTTGCTGGACTCACTTTCAGCTGTCTCCACGCCATGCTCCTTCCGCCACTGGGCCCACCCCTGTATCCCATTGGAGGAGATGACGACGCCCCCGCCTCCATCTCCGCCACTGAAGCTGCCAACCAGCCAATACCCGGGCAGGAGGGTGGGGCGGGCGTCTCCGTGGCGGGTCGACCATGCTCCACCCCCAAGGTTCTGATTGGGCATTTGTACACTTGCGCATTCGGATGGCCACGCCCCTCTCACTTTTCCGCAAGGTCTAGGTGGTTTTTTTCTTCGTATTGCAGCAGGCAGGGCAGCTGCTGGAGCTCCGCAGTTCTCGGACTGGGCGGTTGCTCAGACCTCTTTCAGTGCTCGCTGGGAACCAGGCGAGGGCCAAGGTAGCGTCCTGGTTAAGGCATTGAGTGCTGCCTGGCCAGCTGTGTAGTTTCAGTCCTGGGTCTTGAAAAATACGCTGCATGGCTGTGTGTGTGTGTCTCCCCGTGTCTGACCCCTTGGTCAAAATCCGGAGAGGGAAAATAGAGAAGGAATTGCGGGTGACTATCCCTCCTATGGAGTGATTTCTTACTTTTTCTTTCTCTCCCTCCTCCCCAGCCCAGCACACTCGTGCTGTAGCGAATTTTTTTTTAAGAATAATTTTTTGTTTAATTTTACTCATTGTCATTTTTATTTATTTATTTTTTTTTTAATTTATTTTTTTTTTTTTTGGAGAGGTTTTCGCTATAGGGTGCGTGCACTAGCCAGACAGACAGAGAGAGACAGAGAGACGGAAAGCGAGAAATCACCCTCCAGGGGGGATGATCACGCCGCAATCTCTTCTCTCGGGATCTTGGGCAACGCATGCACACGCGCCCTGCGTGTTTTAAGCCACCGGGTCCAGGACGCGAACCGTGGTCGACTACGTGGGAGTCCAGCAACATAGCCATTACTGTAACTGCTGGTTCCCTTATTTTTATTTTTTTGTAGTTGACCGGAGAGAGAAGGAAAGCGAGAAAACAAGCTGCCAGGTCCGGGACGTCAGCCATGTGGGAGTCCAGCTGTCTGACACCTGCCGGCCCCGCTGTAGCGAATTTTAAAAAATGTATTTTACAGTGTATATACATAGCAAGAGATTATGTTGTAGACCATAAGTATATATTATTTTTTAAGAGGTTTTTGCTATAGGGCACGTGTGCTCGCGACACAGAGAGAGAGAGAGACAGAGAGACACAAAGCGAGAAATCACCCTCGGGGGGGATGGCCATGCTGCAGTCCCTTCTCCTCCATTCTTCTTGGACATGCACGCACATGCCCCCGGCGTGAGTTTTAAGCCACCGGGTACTGGACGCAAACCGCGGTTGACTACGTGGGAGTCCAGTGACATAGCCATTACGCTAACTGCTAGTCCCTCTATTATTTTGTTAAAAGGCAATAAATTTTACTTCTTTGAATTTGAAGATGAACATAAAACTTGAACTTTAAAGTTCATTGGGGTATTTTTTTTCCCAAATTTTAAAAGAAAAAAATATTTACTTTGCTGTCTTGTCAGGGATGGAGAGACAGAGGGGAAAGCACCCTTCAGTGGGGCATGGTCATGGCAGCAATCTTTCTTGCATTTCCACATTGTGGGAATTGGGCTTACTGTGCACAGCGCTCAGCATGTTTTTTCAAGCTGCCAGGACTGAGATTTGGACCTTTTTGGCTGTGTGGGATTTGGCTCTCTTAACCACTAAACTATCAGACCATCCCAATAAAATGTTTTTTGGGGGTTTTATTTTTAAAGATTTATTTATTTATTTTACTTAATTTTATTTGTTACTATTTATTTTTTATTTTACCACAGAGAGATAGAGAAAGGAAAAATGAGAAAGCAAGCTACTAGGTCTGGGATTCGAAGTGCGGCAGCAATGTTGGCCATCCAGCATCCCCACCACCATGCCACCTGCCAGCCCCATGTGTTTTCTTTTAAGCCCCTGAAAGTTTTGTGGACCCTGGCAGATGTGTTTGTAATGCCCAGTGGGGTAGGTGACTCTAATTATATCTTGACATTCTGTGCAACAGACATAGGAATTTTTTTTTTTAAATACTCTTCCTAATAAAGACCTTGAGTGTATACCTTTGTCAGTGTGGGGTATCGCATGCTGACCTAGTATGCACGTCCCAGTCCTGAGCTATTTAGTGCCCACCAAGTCTCAACACCATTAATCCTAGTTATTGTTTGGAGACTGCATCCATTATGTTGATGATGGCCAGTTAATATTTTTCCTGTCTTGGGGCCAGCAGGTGGCATGGTGGTTAAGAGCGTAGGACTCCCACATGGCCAAGGACGGTTTGAATCCTGGACCTGGCAGCTTGCTTTCTCACTTTCCATCTCCCTCCCATTCTGTCTCTATCTGGTTACATTAAAATAAAATAAAGTTGAATAGAATAATTCTTATTTTTTATTTCCCTTTCTGTTACACCAGCTGAAATAGCTGGCTTATTGTCATAGCAGAAAGTAGAGCTGAAAAGGAAGGAAGTTCGAAACTTTTCAACTCAAACCATTTTTAAGTTTCATCAATTATATGATATCAATATGGATATCAGACTGGTACAAATGAATAGACCTACGGACACGTAAGAGGCAGATTCCACTGATAATTTACGTGCTAGGTATCTAAAATTCTACACATGATAGAGATCACTGAATTATTTTTTTTTTTTTTAGTTTTTACTGGAGGGCTCATGTGTTCACCAGAGAGAGGGGGTTTTTTGAAAGAGAAATCACTCCCAGAGGGGATGACCGTGCTGAAATACCTTCTTCATTTTCTTGAAATTTAGCGTATACACACACACACCAGCATGATTTTCAAGCTGCCAGGTCTGGGACTAGAACCATAGGCAGGTGGGACCCAGCCACCTTAACCTCCATGTCACCTGCTACCCCCAAATAATTGGAAATATTTATGAGGCTAAAACTCATGCTTATCAGAGTGTCTTCCTTTTATACTTAATGAAATAAGTTAATTCAGCATAATGTATTTGGTCAACATAGTTATACCCACACTGGACAAAAAGTGATAGGTTGATAGGTCCATTCTGATTATACTCTCACCAGTTTTTTGATCATGGTTTTCAAGTCAGGGACTCGAATTGAGCAGTCTGCCATGTGGGATCCAGTACCTTAACTACCACTGGCTAGCTCTAAGGTATCTTTTTTATCTGTCTAAATATGAATATCCTGCCTATGTATGTCCAACTCATATGCTGAAAATAATTTCTAATCTGAACTGTCATAGTGAAACTGTCCCTCTATGAAGGCTCTTTTCACTGTCTTTGTTAAATATTATGTCTTTTCCATGTTTAGATTCTTTCAAGATAGTGATCATACTATATCCTTTATTTAATTACCACATTGTTTTTCAAACTGAAGAGTATTAAGTAAGGTCTTTAAAATGTCCATGGAGGGGACCAGTAGTTGGCATAATGACTATGTCGCTGGACTGCCATGTAGTCGACCTTGGTTGGAGTCCCGAACCTGGTGGCTTAAACTCACGCTGGGTGCATGTGTGTCCATGCCCAGGATCCTTAGAGGAGAAGGGATTGTGGTGTGGCCATTCCCCCTGGGGGGTCATTTCTCACTTTCTGTCTCTCTGTCTCTCTCTGTCTTTCTGGTGAGTGCACGCACCTTATAGCAAAAACTTCTCCAAAAAAAAAAGTTTTTAAGAAGTCCATGGAAAATTCATATTATGAAAAAAATAAAACTGTATTTCTCATTTTAAAAAGAAGAATTATTTAATTTTATGTGTTGTTATTATGTTCTAATTTGACCAGAGAGAGACAGAGAAAAGGAAAGTGAGAAAGCAAGGCACCAGGTCTGGGGCTCAAACTGTGGTCAGCCATCTGGGAGTCCAGTGTTCCAACCACCACACCACCTGCCAGCCCCTCAAAATTCTTTTTCATCAAAAAAACTTGTACTGTATTCTATTTTTCCACAAAATTTTTGAAGTTTGGAGTTTGTACTTTTGAGAAAGTTTCATTTTAGTGTCCACTTACATAACTATTTAAAAAAGTAATAGAAGCATCAATTGGAGCATTCAAATAACCACCTTCACCTTGAAAGCCGCCAAGTGATTTCAGTGCCATCATGCATACATTTGTATGTACTGATGACCATTTCTTGGCACCAGGAGAGGGAACTAGCTATAACATGTAAGTGATGGATATGCAGCAGGTGAAGACCAAACTGCGTGCTGTCTGAACAAATGTTTGTCCACAAGTCAAATGAACAAAAATGGACAGAAAAAAACCCTTTCCTGCAGCACAGAATACCGTGCGTGCCAAATTCAAAGGAATTTGCGTAGGCATAGTCCAGAACTGTGTTTATCTGCTATTCAGCTTAGCAAAATTTGGATTTCCTTAGTTTTCTGTTCTATTTGTATTTCATTTGTATTTATTTTTTAACCAAATATTTTTTTTATTGTGTAAGAGCTTTAGGATAGTATTTATGCCCAGTTTCATTTGCCAGTATTTAAGAGACTGAATATAGTCATTTAAATCAATCCCAGGGTAGCAGATACATTGAATGGACAAGTCTAGGGAGCTAATGGACAACATGAATAGTATAGGTAATAAAATTGTACTGTGTATGCGATTCATGCTGACTGAGTGTATTTCAGCTGTTCTTGCCCTCACCCCAGGCACGGGTAGCTATATGAGACGATGAAATGGCCCTTTGATTCACTATAGTAACCTTCTTTCTTGCTGTGCACTATTTTGTATACCCTAAATATACGTAAGAAATTTTACTTTTTTAAATCAAAACTCAAATTTTATTTTTTAGGTCAATTAAAATTTTATTTTTTAATATCAAATAAGTCTGCAAGAATGGTCTTTACAAAGAAATACATTTGAGGCCAACAGGTGGCATGGTGGTTTTAGCGCTGGATCCCTCATGGGCCAACTACATGGTTCAAGTGGTGGACCCAGTGGGTTAAAAAACACATTAGCTGCGTGTGTTTGCATGCCCAAAATCTGAGAGGAGAATGGCGGAGAAGGGATTGTGGTGTAGCCATTTCCTCTGGGAGGTAATTTTCTTTCTCTCT